CAAAATGAATGAATAATATGATCTAAACTCATATTAGAATATGCTGAACTTCCTGGGCCAAGATTTTAGCGTATTCTGAATATGAATTCAGATTATATTTAATTGTTCATTTTTGGATCTGATCCCTTTTTTTATTGTAAGTTTGTTTTATGCATATGATGGATGTACAATTCCATCACCAAACTTGTAAATTGAGAGCAAATATATCAGAACAAAAGAGATTACAGTGTATCCTGCAGTTTTGAGAGCATATGTTTCTACATATGTAGCCCTACATATTTGTCGCTGTCTCAAGTGTCAAATGGTTTCAAGACCATGGTCATGACGTCCAACAAATCAAGTCTATAAAAAGTATAGTATGTGATTACTGAGACAGTGTATATGCAGGTGAAGAGGAGAATGAGCTAAGAGGGGAGGAAAACAAGGTAATTGGTAAAAATATCTTTGAAATCCTGTTATTGAATTCAATTTTTAGCCAAAGCAATCACAATATGCACCAAAAGAAAATCAGTTTGTCAAGGACCACATTCAGGCTTACCTTGATGAACCCAGGGTAGCAACAGAAACAATCAAGGAAATGGGAGGTTATATGATGTACTGGCACAATGCATCACAGTCCTGACCACAACTCTCACAAATGGGTTCTGATTTCTGCTCAGCCCCAGGTAAGCACCATTATTCACACTTATGTTCCTTTATTTTCAACAATTGTTGCAGCTACTTCTGTGGATGCAGAGCGAGCATTTTCCAATGGCCACCGTCAGATCAATTTCACCCAGCACAATATTAACTCTCAAACATTCAGAGCGGAAATGGCTCTCAGATCCTGAATTAAATCCCCCCTCTACCCAGGCTTCAATAAAGTTATGCAAATGATTGAAAAAAAGATGGACAATGATTTCTTTTTGTAACACTTTATGTCACCAAAATTGTTCTTTCAATACCTCTACATAAATATCAATTGTTCTCAAAGGCATTTCTCTGAAACTGAAAATAAATACTCTCAAGATGGCCAAGGCATGCTAATACACACCCCAAAACACACTCTGTGATCAAGGCTCAGTTACAGCAGCATTATATAAAGGAAAAGACCTCAGATTATGATATATAAATAACTTTAGTTTTACTGTACTCAATCTAGATCATATATGAATGAATTTTGTTTTAATATGAATTCTTCTGAATTTTCGCTTCATAACACAATTTTTTTTTGTAAAGAACAGACAAGAAATGAACAAGATACACTCATTTATATAACTGAAGCTACGTCCTCAGCCACTCAGGCCGTTTTACCCACGGATATATCCGTAATGTGCCTTATCTGATCTGTGGGTGGGAAAATCCGTGGATCGGGTACAGTTAATACCCGGGTGTATCCATGACAGTCCCTAGTCAAATGACAGGTGTTCTTTTGCATACATGGTGGACAATGAGAAAGAATAGTTTGATTCAACTAGGATTAGGTAATGCAATGGCCTCGCACATGACCCCGGCATTTATAAATTCTTCAGTGGCCTGGAAGGCCAGTTCTTTCCAGGGCATTTAGTAGCTGCGCTATGGAAACATAGAAGTACAACATGGACAATTGTCCTATGGGTCATAGAGCTACCCAAATGGGCCCAATGCTCTGGATGTCACTATGGGGCCATGTGTGGGCCCAGTTCCATAAAGACACTTAAGGGTAAATGTTGGGCCCAAACGTGCGGCCAAACCAGACACTGCCAAATAGCCATTTGGCCCAATTATGGTCATTTGAGTGGTTTCACTTAGACTAAGGGTAGTTGTTGGGCCCAATATCAAGAATCCCAATGGCTATATGTTGGGCCCAATGTGGGTCAGGATAGGTTATGGGCCCAATGGTGGGGCCAATTCAATTTCTGTCACTAATGGCTATATGTTGGGCCCAATGGTCAAAGCAGTAAGTTATGGTGCCTATGTTGAGCCAACAAATATGAACCGTTATAGTTGTATGATGGGCCCAAGGGCTTGGGAATGCCAACGATTTTACTGGGAATTTTTCACCAAGAGTTCAGGGTATTTCAAGCGGGAATCGTGGGGTTTGGCGGAACCGCGGGGTTTAGCGGAACTTTGTCGGAACTTGCGGGGTTTAGCGGAACTTTCGGGGGAGTCAGAACTTTCGGGGTTTGGCGGCACTTCCGGGGTGTGCCGAACCTTCGGGATTTGGCGGGACCTCCAGGGTTTGGCGGGAGCTTTGGGATTGTTCGGGGTTCAAAGAAAGTTACAGGGCATAGCGGAACCTTTGGGGGTTTAACATGGGGGTATTTAACCCCGAAATCCTCTTGTGGGACTTACATTTGGAGCTCAATATATATACGTGGGGCTCCCACGATGAAAGATTTACGGGAGTGCTGGTAATATTATTCCAACAGTTCCTTAGTTTCGGGACTCCCGCGGCAAACATGGCTTGCACGGACTTCCTGGGGGTTTTACATTGGAGTAATACAACTGTCCAGGTTGTGCATGAACTCAGGGGTTGATGGTGTCCCTGAAAACTGTTTGATCTGAGCTCCGAGGACAATGATCGATAAAACATGAGGTTAGCATGAGGCATCAAGAATTTATAGTTTTGTTTTTCCCCTACTTCAACCATTCCAAACCACCCACAATGGAATTTGGGACTGCCGTCCAGGCTCTCACCGATGACGTTGGAATTTATATCTCAGGACGTCTTCGATACATCCTACTGCAGAAGGGTGGAAACGACTTTCCCCCGAAGGAATTCTCCGAGAGTCTGGTCACCGATTGCGAACAAGTGATTTCCGTGATTGTCGAGGCCTGGAGGTCGTCTCCGATTCAAGTAGAGTGGGACATTGAGGAATACATAAAGGATGTTGGGGTACGACCCACCGGTATTTGTTTTGATTCTGGATCGTTTTTTTTCGTTGATGAAAATGTCAGGAATGGTTATGTTAATGGAGGAAGCATTGCTTCAGAGATATCCCCCTGCCTTTCCACCGGAGGATGAAGTGGTTGAAAGCAAACCGGTGATTGTGCGCGATGTCCGGGGAAGTCATCTTGCTTGGTATTTACCCGGGGCAATGTCGGAAGCACTTCAGGCAGGTTGGAATCATAAACCCTTTGTGCGTCCTAACATTGGCTTATCAGAATCGGGTTTTGTTTGCTTTGGAGTCCCTTCGGCCCTACTTTGCCTCATCACCCCCTGTCTCCGGGAAATCTTGGAGAAACGACAAAGCCTACTTCCGGGGTTCTGAAGCCTCGGTATTTCCGCCAGGAATTGTAAATCTGGCTCCATTGTGGACGCTGGCTGGACATGAAGTTCTTTGTTGTTCTTTTATGCCATTCCAAAGCTTATTTGTTTTTAGTACGACGGGACTTCCCTGGGAGCTTCTGCGGCCTTGAAGAAGAACTCCACAGGGTCGAAGCGTTTCCTCCGAGATATCCTCGAGTTTCAGGCCCTGATTGGCGGAATCATTTTCGTCTTACACCCCGCGCAGTACGCGAAAATGCGAGGCACACTGGTCCGAGCAGCAAGTCCCAGTCTACAAATTGCCCCAGGTGAAACGATTGAAGATTGGGAGTTGTATCGGGAGATCATCGGTACTTGGGCCAGCGGTTTTACTGGTTTGTCAATAATCAGTCAAAGGGAAACCCCGTTCCATCGTGACGGAAGGTCTCCACCCACTATGTTCGATATACTTGCAACATTTGGTAAAGTGGTGGACCCAGACATTCGAGCGGAACTCCCGGGCATCGGCATTCGATTTCATTATAATCCCGGAACCATTCTCACAGTTCTGTCAAAAGCAATCAGACATGGGGTGTCTATTTCCAAGGAGCCCCGATGGTGCTTTGCCTTCTTCGTCCGCGACCGTATTCTGAATCAGTTGGGGTGCCGGGACGAGCAGCCATGGATGGGAGATGAGCTTTTCACGGCATGGCAGGAGTTGGAGGAATTTCAGAAGGTTCGGAGACTTATTGACATTGAACGGGGAAAGTCCTGGGAGCCAATTGGAGTTTTATGAGCCCATGCATTGTATTTCAAGAGGCGTCCGGGCATTCATTCCTTTCAACAGAAAACTATTTAGACATTTTGCGAAAGCTAGGTAGATGGTCGGATATCAAGGTCCTTGACACTTGTTGTAAGATCAAACGAGAAGTCCGGGATTGCGGTAATACCCAGCCTTGTTTGCCGTCTCGGGATAGGCTTTTGTTGGCGGGACTCAGCGGATGTTCCGGGAGTAGGGGTTGCAGCTCCTTTATGCTCCAAGGCAGCGGCGTCGTCCAGCCTCAGCTTCTCCGTGAGTTTATCAAGTGTCCGGCATTCCCACTCTCCTCGGTATTCCTTTTCCATCACCCCAATCGCTATCGAAGACTCCTCAAGCATGCCCTCAAGTTCCTCCCCTTTGAGGTACTGACGTTCAATTTCCCGGTCCAGGACCGCAGTACCTTGGACAATCGAATCCCGCACCTCCAAAAGTCGAGCCAGCACCATTTCGTCAGTGGGAAGCGGGATAAAATATTCGTTGGGTAATTTGTATATGCCGTTTAACTGTTTCGTTCATTGAGATTGAAAAAGTACGCAACGTTTCAAAGAAGCACGGACCAATGTGTTATGACAAACAAGCGCCTTCTTTCGAAACTCTTCCAGCAACGGGCCTTTCCCTACAACAACGGTCCAATCCTCCACATTCCACCAATCATTGATATAGAGGGGTACGGTTCTGTCGGGTGCGGTGGATGGGCAACGATAGGCAGTGTGGACCGGACCTCGGCATTTGATTGCTTCAGTGAGATACGACGGAAGGTCAAATTGAAAGCCCTTGATCGATTCATGACCGAAGATTTTCATAAAGTCGTCCTTTTCTATGTAAAAAAATGGACCTAGCATGTCTGAAATCAGATGCACGTACGATTTCCCGGCGGAACATTGCCAGCCATGCCTTTTCTTGGACATCCGTCAGATTTTCCCGAGTGCTTAAAGCCCGATTCGCATCCCGCCATCGTGAGCTCATCATATAAATGAACTCCTGCATCGGAATGGTTTCACGTATGTCTTTGAGTTGCTCGGGGGAGAACATCATGATTCAGAGAGATGAAGATCAAATGAATCAGCAGACTATCCTAGACAAAGGAATACACAAAGGTAAACAATCTGGATCTATAGTGCTCCGGATCACTGGAAATCCGTCAGTGCCTGGGTCTGGAATCCCCGCCACATTGCCGACTGCCTCCGGGCATAGCATTCCTTGCCCAGACTGGTATTCATCGCCATCCAATCCCATTGGACAGCGCGGCTGTTGAAGAACAGCATGGTCCAACCCATCTCCCGGGGTATTAATTTGTGTTCCTCCGACCATCGATCATACCTCGCCTTTGCTCGTAGATAATTTACCCGATACACTGAAATGAACCACCATTATCCCGAAGCATATTTAAATGGCTGTCACAACTTACGTTCTTCCATGTGAAAGTCATCAATGGAGTCTCCGTGGATATTAAGTCCCCAGAACCAAGGGATATTCCGATTTCGGTGACCTGGTGCATTAGACTTTGAGATATTCGGAAGGGTATGTGTATCTTTCTTCTCAATGGGCTGAAATTTTTTCAAGATATCGGGGTCCGCCTTCAGTCTTTCCAATGCCCATCAGGCGTGGGAATACACCCAGAGGTGGTGTGCCAAGTTCCTATCCACCGCATTCACCTTGTCATAAGCTCGGGTCTTTCCTTTCTTGCCCTCCTGTATGTTTATTTCCTTTCGATATATAAATGATTTGTGACCGATTTCCAGTCGAATGGTGGCAAGAGTGTTGTTGGCCTGTGCAATACGTAACTCCAGCTCCTGCTTTCGGGCAAGCTGCATGCCTTCAGGTCATTGAACGAGGACGGTAAAATAATATCCATGTTCTCGGCTAATGTTTTGTCAGAACTTGGGGGGTTGGCGTCAAGGATGTCGAGATCATCGTCATGTTCAAACTGATCATCCGGAGGGGGGTTCAAGACACATGCATCCAGGAAGTCGGTCCGTGGAAAAAGCTCAGAGCCTTGTCGATGAAAAGCATCCAATTGCCAGATAAACCTTTGACGGTGTTTTGCAAATTGGACTTTATCGGCGGACGTTGGCTTATGGCCTGTCATGCGGACGAACCTACTTAATGCCAACTGTGTTTCCTGAATTTTCATACCCGTGCTTATCCAAACGGTAATCCCAATAGCATTTCTGATATCAAGCTCTTTTGCCATCAGGCTGGCTTGCACATCCTTTTGTGTCGGGACTATTTGCCGGTCGTTAGGTAGTTCAGGATATCAACAGGGGGCTACTAACCCTTTGGGGCTTCCGCTTCAAAAATGTCCATCGCGGATGGATCCGCAGTTCGAAGCTTCTGGGCATTTTCCTCCTGTCTATTCCAGTCCAACAGCTGCTCGGAACTCGCTGTGTCTGACAGCTTGTGAAGTTCTGTTTCAGCTTCGGCAAGCCCGGTAGTGGTTCTCTTCCATCTCCGACATAATGACCTGACTATAAATCCGTTAACAATCAGATCGCAAATTCCTGCAATGCATACCCATGTTGACGAGCTTCTTCCAATTATGGTCACCCATATGTGCATCCAGAACTTCCGTCCTGTGAGCAAGCGTCATTGTCCAGGATATCCGGCCAATATGGTTGAGACTGGACCACATTGTTTCACGGATTTCCCCATCTGATTGTCCCGCCCCTTCGATAAATGTTGGTGAGAACTGTGCCAAACATATAAGCTGATGTCCATGGACATGGAATAAGCCAATACCAGGGATTATGATGAGTCCCGGGTGGACTTCAAGGAAAGGAGAGCCTTCAACCCTTTTTAAGAAGTTTTTGTAGTATTGACAATTGACGTCATATACGAGGATGCATTTCGGGGCTTCGGAAGTTCCGGTATTTCTCATTGCCTCACAAAACACATAATCCATGTTCATCTGGCTATTGCCCCAAGTTACTAGAGTCAGTACCGTTTCATGAGATAATGTCTGGCCTCACCGTTCTCCCTTTTGAAAGTCAACAACACCACCTGGGCAGTAGCATCCATGTCGGAGGCATGCAGCGGCTCCAAGTCCCGTCGAATCACAACCTTTGTGTATCCTCGCCTGATCATTAACTGCATGATGCTCATTACAGGTAGGTGCCTATATCACGATCGACTTCGGTCAGCTGTTCATTGAGGAGAATAACATAAAACATACCTCCTTGGTCTCCTTCACTGTTGCGAGATGCTTGGCATATTGTTCCCTTTCTACCATTATCCCTCACCATGCTTTAACCAGACATCCGTTTCTGGCCGGCATTGTAATTTATGATTACAGGTAAAGTTTCCATCGAGTACGAAGCCTCGGGAATATGCCCAAACCTCCGTGTCCTCCTTCCAGTTGTTCGGAAGATTGATTCCAGGTTGTGGGCAAGCTGGGCAAAATAGGGCTAGCTCACCCATTGTTGGAGAACAATTTTGATGGCCAAAGCCAAACCATTTGTATTCTTTCAAGTTCCACCATTGTCGGCTGACCCGTAGAAGCTCCCGATAACGGTCCTAAAGCAAATGTCAGGATCATATGGGTTTAAAATGCCGGTGAACTTACTTTTACTTTATGCGGAAATGCCTTGGATGTCATCCTCCGTAATTTCGAATAGTAATGAGTGCCGGATGTTTTGCATTCAAGATTCTCCAATATAGTCATCAAGTACCGAAAAAGTAAATGCCGTCTTGGGGTCCAGCACGGTAGATGGAAAAAGCCCCATTTGTAAAAGTTGAATATCCGGAGGGGGACAGCCAGAGCATAAACAGAACGACGTCGGCAGTTGATGGATACCATTGCTGTGCACATAGGTCAAAACACAATGCCCATTGAGGGTTGTCACCAGTGGATCGGGAAGCTCATTCTCATTGTAGAGACCATCCCCATCATCCTCCGAAGAATCTTCCAAATCACTGTCATTATCTTCGCCATCCCACGGAGTATGTTCCAGAACTTCCATAAAGTCCGCCGAGGTTCCAGGATCCTTTTCGTCATGGCATCCATCGTCATCATATGAGTCCCAGGTTTGTCCCGGACATGGCTGGCCATTGTGGCCAAGGTAGATTACTGTCCCAACTTTCCACAACCAGGATGGGGAAAAATAAGCTCCAGTCCAAGTTTCAACTCTATGAAAAGGATGCAGTCGATGATCAATTCTGAAGCAATGTAAGGATTGAACAACATTGCCCAGACAATCCTGGCACTTCCAAGTACCCTCCCGAACATTGCAACTGGCACAGAGTTTACCAGGAGGGGGGGCTTCTCTGGCTAGAATTTCGTCTAGATAAATCATTCTACGACCCTCCCATTCTTGTAGATAGTCATTGGTCGACTAAACGTCCCATGTTAGATGAATCGACTAAGGGAGATGAATTTTACCTTTGTCCACATGTCCAGCATACTTTCTGTGTCCATGTATGTGATGTCTGCAGTCATATCTGAGGTCATAGATGGTTGATTATTTCTTTCTGACGACATCCTTTCCATATATTCTGATGAAGACTGGACATCTCTTGAGACGGATGTTGTTTCAGCTGGAAAGATCGTTTTCCCTTTAACGGATCCCCTCCGTCCCGGAGCATATTCAACATGTTTCAATGATCCAATAACT